ACCACAGTGGCGGCTACTACTGCTGCTCTACTACGGTGGCGGCTACTACTGATTCGGTCTAATTTCGGCAGCGCCGATGGCTCTTCCGCATTCGAGTTTGATCACTCAGGTGTATTCTTATTTGGTACAGGAGACCTCTGAATCAGAGTTTCACGTATATCTAAATCATTCACGTCGATCGTGCTACCCAAAGGGTATCCTAGTGCTTAGTAGTGTTTTCCATAACTGATATGTTGAGCTCACGATCGTCAAGGGCTTATCTGTAACTCAGGGACCCCTGGGGATTCGATCATTCAGGGAACCACTCAGGGAACATTTCCCGGTTCATGTAACTTCAGAAGTTAATGGTGTAAATCAGAAGAGTGACAAGAATAGTAAAAGGTGTGAACATACCATAAACGTAAGAGAGTTACAATCGCAGCCGTCGTTAATGATGTAACTGATCACTTGGGAAGAATACAGATATCAAGTATAAAACGTGAAGATTTGGAAATAGGAATATTCACCACAGTGATTTTCGCATATAAAACACATGCCGACAAAATGATCGAAAATTCGAGACAAATGCATTTGGTCAACACCTTCTACAACCATTACACGTGGTGGTTCGGTGATTTAAGATTCGGTGAGACAATTGGTGATAGGTGGGATCAGTGTAGACAAGAAAGGGAAGCTTCGATATGATGCATGAGTGGGTCTTTCACGGAGCTCACTATCCGATTAATCCCCAAGCAATGGTCGGTGGACTTGTAGGCCGGCATTGCGAGTCTACGAGATATCACCCATCTTGGGCAAGCAAGGATTATACTTCCCGGCAAGAACTAAACCGTGTAGTGATGATGCACCAGCACGCCGAGTCATGGCCTCTACCTTAGAAATTACCACGGGAAGTTGGGTTGAACTAATAAGCTCAAAGAGATCGTGGCTGTGTGTAACGTGGCTTCACCGTGAAGCTCTCACGGTTTCATTACACAAGAGCTAGTGAATCTGATTACGCCACTTTTGTACTAATCCACTTTTGTACCAAATCAAGTAGCGCTCGCCCCTATTTTAAAAACTTCCCTTCGGGAAGCGCTTCGCTCCGCGAACCACTTCTGTGCTAAAATCGTTCCTTTTGTGGAAAATTTGACCCAGTTGATTGAGCTTGTACCACTCTCAAAC